TTTATTGCTCTTTTAGGTAAACAAAATTGACCAAAAGTAGAATATTTTTTGTAAGGGAATATAGCCAGTGAAGTAACTATATAACAGTGCGTTAGTCAGAAATGTCTACTATACAAGAAATCATAAATAGTTCTTATATTTGTTTTGTTATTTTGATAACTTATGCAAAGTTCCTAGTTTTACCCGAGACTTCATTTATTTTGATAGCCTATTCCATCCTCGATATAGAATATATCTTGACACGAAATTTCATTGAGGTCCATTCAGGCGATTTGTCGTGAAGAGTGACGAACGAGTTTCTAACATTTTCGCGTTTTAATATTTGTTTTTTATAATAACTGTATTGCTATATGATATTAGTCAATACAATATTTTACGACTATAATAATAATAATCTCAGGACAATTCACACAGCGCCATCTAGACCCAAGTTAAGCTAGCTAAAACTTGTGTTATGGGTACTAGATAACTGATGCATATACATAGATATTTTTTGTAAATACATACATATTATACATAGAAAGCACCCAGACCGATACAAACAATAATACTCATGAATTCAAATGTTTGTGCCGTGCGAGGAATCGAACCCGCGACCATCGGTCGTAAAGCGGTGCACTAGACCGCTGGACCACCGAGGTCGTCGACTATGTCGCTGCCTTTTCTTCGCTCGTTTCATCCTCGATCTCCTTCCTTTACAATATTAGTAAGAATTTATAGAAAACAATGTTCAATCAATTTAAATACCTACAAAGTCTAAATTGATAAAGGGACTATCCGATGAATTGAAACTGGCCTCAGATGGTTTAGTTACTTCACTGGTTATACACCTATCGTTGTCTCATTGACGGCCATACTTATTATGACATCATTATATTCATTATTTATACTGTTAACCGGCTCTCTAGCCTGGTCTTTAACAGGTTGCACTACCCGGGTTTACGAGCTGACTGAGTCAGCTTGTGACTACGGTTAGTACAACCTAGTCGAAACGTCTAAAGAGATATCAATGTACAAAAACCCTAAAATTGTAGGTGTTAATACCCAATTAGAGAGGTAACAAGGTACAAAACCTTTATTAACCCTAAAATTATAGGTGTCAATACCCGGTTAGAGAGGTAGCAAGGTACAAAACCTTTATTAACCCTAAAACCTTTATTAACCCTAAAATTATACCCGGTTAACAATATAAATAATGTGTATTAAATAGTAAAGTTTAACAATAACTGTCATTAAAATTTGACTGTTCAGCTGTTCAAGTATTACGTAAGTACTATGAGGGGACGGGGGGTGTTCGCTTTGCTTATTTTCGATGACATGAAATGAAATGAAATGAAATGAAATGAATATTTATTGCTTAAAATGTGGTATTTATGTGGTTTTTAAAGTCTTTAGAAGTAGTTTCACACATTTTGTCATTTCTGACATGCAACAGACAGAACAGATGTCAATTTTGGTTATTATTCGTTAGTCAATATTAAGTACGTATATTATTTATAATATGAGTATGTCAACTATGGGGTGTGGGGATCTAGATTATGTTTACGTCATCGGTAATTATTTACTTTTTTACAAGAATGGCAACCCTCATATTGTCTTTGTTAAAAAACAATACATTAATTGTAAAATGTTTACGTAATCATGGGTAATAGCTTTGCTTACTTTTGCTGACAAGGGGGATGGGGGTAAATAATTGTAATAAATCTCCTTATATAATACTTGAATGGCCCCTACCGTCTCGCGTATTAATATCGCATTTTTGCTATCGGAATATCATTTTGAAAATGCATACCTACATATCTCTATATACAGTTTTCAGAAAAATTCTACGCACAAGTTTATTAAACTCAGATTTGTTTTTTATATATAAATTTAATTTACATTCTTAGTATTATGATTTCGTAACAATTATATGTCTATGTATATGTATCAATGTATATTTGTTGTTAAATGTAACATTTCGAAATATATTATGATGTTTGGTATATAAAAATAGTTTTGGTGTTTCATTTAATACTATAACCTTCTAACTCCATCACCACGGTGATTTAGCAGTTTAGCATATCCCTTCAATTGCGGTGGCCGCTGGTTCGATTCCTCGTAAAGCCTTGAGTTGACGTGTGATAATGACAATCTAAGTGGTATAGCGGTTTAACATTTGGCTTTAAATGCGATGGTATCAGGTTCGATTCCCGTATGATGCAAACATTTGTATTCAGGAGTCTGATTGTTTGTAACGGCGGTGGCCGCTGGTTCGATTCCTCGCAAAACCTTGTGTTGATATGTGACTATCAGAAGCTAGGTGGTTTAGCGGTTTAGGATTCCGCTTTAAATCCGATGGTATCAGGTTCGATTCCCGTATGATGTAAACATTTGTATTCAACAATTATTGCTTGTATCGATCTGGGTATTTTCTAGGTATATTATGTACTAGGTGACCCGCGCAACTTCGTCTGCATTTCATTTCCTTAATATTTTTCATTGCAGCTCCGCTCCTATTGGTCGTAGCGTAATGTTATATAGCTTAAAGCCTTCCTCGACAAATAGACTATCCAACAAAAAAAATCCATTCGAAACAGTAGTTCCTGAGATTAGCGCGTTCAAACAAACAAATTTTTCTCACGAGACTACAGCATGGGGTTTTTCAAGAAGGGTATATTAAGGTTTCTAAGGGTCGGCAACGCGCACGTGACACCCTTGGTGTTTCAGGCGTTCATAGGCTACGATAACCATTTACCATCAGATGAGCCGTATGCTTGATTACCACCATCGTAGTTTAAAAAACAAACAAACTCTTCAGCTTTATAATAGTAGTATTAATTTATTTACAAAAATGTATGTCTACTAATTTAGTATTTCTAACAGTTGTCTAGTACCCATAACAGAAGCTCTGCTTAACTTGAAACAGTTGGCGCTGTTCGAAGTGTCCTAGGTTATTATTATTATTATTAAAAAAAAACCATAATACAAAAATATGTTAAGAAAGATATCAAAAAGTAGTCTTGCATTGTTTTTGAACACTTATTTATTAAATTATTATTTTATTTATTTACAATTTGTATAAAAATATTTAATACAAAGTTTTATTAAGTTTATTACAAAATATATAATAATATATACTCACTAAATATTTTTATAATTAATTACATAAATAATTATAATATTATTAAGTTAGTTGAAGTATCTAATTATTTGTTTTAACGTCGTGGCAAAGTGGTTTTCATTTATACGCTTCAAAGGTCGTAAGTTCGAATATAGCCGACAAGAAACCTAAGTGTCAATTTGTAGACAGTTAACCCATTTCAGCTGCCATCCAGTTTGCTTTATAGGTTATGTTTCGGTTGTTGGGTGCAGATTGGGCAGTGAAATTACAGGGTATAAAGTTCTATGGAATGTCAATGCATAAGTCCGACGGATGTTACCACTTACCATCAGGTGGGTCAGCTTGTTTACCATGTTTATTACAATAAAATAATACAAGTCACAATTTTTTATATAAAACTAGCTGATCCCGCACACTCCGTTCCGCCTCAGAATAAATTTCTGAACGCACCCCGTTTGACAGTTTGTATGGGAAAATAAAATTGTTGTTTTTAGTATTCTCTATGCAATTTCTTCATATTTTATCACCGTTTAAGCCTTCCCTGGCCTTTAATGTATAAATATATATTTCAAGACTAAAATCATTAAAATCGGTTCAGCCGTTCTCGAGTTTTAGCGAGACTAACGAATAGCAATTCATTTTTAGCCTCACAGTACATTTATGAAAATATTATGTATACAAGGAAAAACTTAGATAGTTTCAAGAAACTTAAAGACTGTACAAGTAGAAACTTACGCAATAAAAATAAGCTAATTTTACCTAAATGCCGTCTACACAAAGTTAGTAATTCATTTTATGGTAATTGCGTAAGATTCTATAATAAACTGCCAGAGTCTACGCTAAATCTTACAGAGAGGCAATTCAAATCTTATATTAAACAAATGTTATGTAAAAAAGCCTATTATAAGATAGATGAATTTATAGATGATAGCAATATATAGCAAGAATAAGTTTATTTGCGGACAACGTTATAATTTTAATTTTCATACTGCTTTCTTGATATATGATAGCGTAGCGGCTATTGTATTGATTGCCGCATGCATCGTTTATGTAAAGTGCGAATACTGTAACTACCATATAGTAAAGCTGTGACGTGGTCGTGTGGAATGAGTAGTCATGCTCACTAAAATGTCCAGACATGTGGCGGCGTGGTGGGCCGGGTCAATGGGCTCCCTAAAATATGGTCGAGCGCAGTGATGGCTGGCTCATCCGTCATACTCGTGAACGAGTGCTGCTTGTAGGGACTGGTCTGCTCTTATCACTACGACTGCTTATAATCTTATTGCATATTTATATTTGACCCAAAAATTAGTGCTTGTTGGTAGTTTGTATTCACACGTTTCGACTTGTAAATGTAAACTTACAAGGATTATTTAAAAGAGCAACACACAGTTTCTTGCTCGTTCTTCTTGTGATGAGACAGCTTTCCGAACGAGCGGTAGATAAAAAACAAATTGTTATGACTATTCAAAAGTGCTTAAATTAAGTTTATTTGAATAAATGATTTTCTATTCTATTCTATTTTTTTATATATATAGACTAGCGAACTGTCCCTATTTCGAAAAGGTGCATTGCAAATCTTTGAATTGCTCGCGTTTCTGTACTGCAATATACATATACTAGCTGACCCACGCAACTTCGTCTGCGTTTCATTTCCCCATCAATTGCAATATTTTTCATTGCAGCTTCGCTCCTATTGATATAGCTTAAAGCTCTCCTCGACAAATGGATTATTCAACACGAAAATAATTTTTCAATTCCAACCAGTAGTTCCTGAGATTAGCGCTTTCAAACAAACAAACTCTTCAGCTTTATAATATTAGTATAAATATATACCTTCCTCTTGAATCACTCTATCTATTGCTGAAAATTGCATTAAAATCCGTTGTGTAATTTAAAACAGACAACTACGGCGACTTTGCTTTATGGTATGTAAAGATTTATCTGTCCATCTTTATTGTCTGTGGTCCTTCTACATAATTATCACTAAATACATATATGGTTAGAACGTTTCGTTGTCAAACCATTGCCACATCTTCGGCTTTGTATAATCCAACTCATATTCTTCGCATTTTTGGCCGGTTATTCTGAAAAAAAAAATACAAAGTACATGTAGGACATTTTAGCCGCTTATGAACGTCAAGTTTTTACATTATAATTTTTTTTCCGTACCGTCCAGTTCGGTATATAGATCCAATTGAGAAGAACTGGCAAGAAACTCAATTGAATTACATTTTTTTTAAAGGCCAGTTTATATACAATGCATAGGTATTTATATAGGTGTCTATGTCTAACATTAAATGAAAATCCCGAACATGAAAACTATTGCCATGCACGCTCGTCATTCAAGTAATCGTTTAATGAGTAATAGGCTTTGCTCAGTAAATATGATTTAACAGATGTTTTGAATTTATTTAAGGGTATATCCAATATATCCTTTGGTATCTTATTGTAAATTTTTATACCTATTCCCATAAAAGACCTATTGACTTTTTCTAAACGATACTTGGGGACAGCAAGTTTGTCTTTAAATCTAGTATTAATATTATGAATATTGCTGTTTTTTGGAAATAAGTCAAGATTTTTATGAACATACAGGATATTTGAATATATAAATATATGATATGATTGAATATATAATAATGTTGAACAAGAATTAAAATAGGCGGGGAAAAAATGTTGGGGCACTTGATACGACACGACGAACTAATTAACAACATTATTGAAGGAAAAATAGATGGAAAGAGAGTAAGGGTAAGACCAAGACACAGCTATATCAAGCAAGTTAAAGAAAAAGTTGGAGTCGTGTCGTATCAACAGCTAAAGGGACTGATAGAAGATCGTGGAAGGTGGCGGGAGCTCCACCGACAAGAGCACAGCTCTTAAATTATGAATGAATGAAGAATTAAAAACAATACAAATTATAGTAGATAATTAAGAAAAACATCCGCATGGCTAATCTATCGGCGCTACCGTGGCAGATTGCCGTCGTCAGTGCCGTGACCATAGAGACAATTTTATTTTACATATTTGATTATTATTTCTTATGTATGTTAGTCTATAAGGTATTTATAATATGGGCCATGTAGCCTGAATTAAATAAATAAATAAATAAATAATCTACAAATGTCGCGTATGGCAGTCATCGCCTTGCACAGGTCGTTACACTTCCTGTTAAAATTTTATTTATTTTATTATATACTAGTTACCCGCCCGGATTTGATGTTACATGTATTATACGTATAAACCTTTCTCTGGAATCACTCTACTATTTAAACTATCTACTGCTAAAAACTGCATTGAAATCCGTCGAATAAAAGAACTAAGCGATAAGACAATAGAAGCGACTTAATTTTATACTATGTAAAGATTCCACAGATATTATTTTTCAAAAATACCTCTGTAATTATACAGTTACTTGTAGCGCGGTGATTAACCTCATCACTGTAGCGTTATATATGTTGTGATGAGGTGGCACTACATAATATATTATTTATTGTAGTATGTAGGTAGTAAGTATACCGGTAAAATGATTGTGTTATTTATTAGACATTATTAAGTTTATTGGTAGTGTGCTACATGGTTTATTAGTAACGCGTCCAGTCGACGCGGAGTCGGGACGTAGACTGATTTTCCACTTAACTTAAATCTATGTTAGTGGAAACGTAAACTAACGGAAGGGTCTCAAGTGTTGACAGAAATATTACAAGTGTAGGCACAATTTTATCAATAACTCTATAATTGTCTTTGCTCCATAGTTAGATGTCCGCCATTTTGCAATGATAATTATTACAAAATGGCGCTAAAACACCCGAATTGAAAGACTGTTTACGCGCGCGATCTCTCTCGTTCTATTTGTCTACATTTGCATGCACACTCTTTCCTGCGTGAAAGCCATTCGCGCGCGAGGGAGATAGGAGGGGATAGGGAGGAGCTATTGTGTTGTTTCCATTAAAATCAATTTTTACATCAAGATTCTATAGAGAAGAAACCTGATTACCTAGTTCTTCTAAGACATCTGACTCTTTCTTTCCCGTGTGAAAGCTGATTCACCCGTGAAAGAGAGTACATATAAAGGCAGATCTGGTTCTCCAAAGACATCTGACTGTCTTTCCTGTATGAAAGCCGATTCGTGAAGGAGCGTATTTACAAAGGAATATATTTTGCTATTTTCAGGTCATTGAATAATCAATTTTGTCACCAAGATACTTAAGGAAAGAACCCTCATTACCTGGTTCTGCTAAGTTATTGAACTTTGTCTTTCTTTCCTGCGTGAAAACCGATTCACGCGCGAGAGATATAGGTAGCTATTGTATTGTGTGTTGTGTGTTAATGGAATTAAAAAGTCAATTATTACATCAAGATACTGTACAGAAAAAACCTGATTACCTGGTTCTCCTAAGACATCTGACTATAGGATGTGATCGTCTGAAGCATTGCGGACCCAGCACGTTGAAGTAGGTGAGGCCAATTTGAGCTGACACCAATGAATTGGTGCGTCGAAGACACTCTCGGAACTTCACGTCACAACTGCAGTGTGATCTGAAAGAGAAGTTTGTGAAACAATATTTATGGGGATTCTAAATAATATTGTTCAAAATAGGGTAAGGATAAATATGTATACACACACTCACACACTCTCTGTCCCTCATACGCACACACACACACACTCTCTCTCTCTCACACACTCACACACACTTAGTTTCGCTCCGTAAGTGTGGTATACGCCATAAAACGTAAAAAACCAGCAAAAGCTGAGTAAACAACGATAATAATAATTTCAAGACAATTCATACAGCGCCATCTAGTCCAAAGTTAAGCTAACTAAAGCCTGTGTTATGGGTACTAGACAACTGATACAAATACATAGATATTTTTTCGTAAATACATACATATTATACATAGAAAACACCCAGACCGATACAAACAATCGTACTCATGAATACAAATGTTTGTGCCGTGCGAGGAATCGAACCCGCGACCATCGAAAGTAAGGCGGTGTGCTAAACCGCTAGACCACCGAGGCCGTCAATAATAAAGTAAGTAATTAACACTGGACAATTCACACAGCGCCATCTAGTCCCAAGCTGAGCACAACCTTTGATCTTTCTTTGGCATGAAATCGTTTGCTGTGATACTGTTCATGTGTAACACGACCGTTACCACTTACCATCAGGTGATACGTCAGGTAGTTTGTTATTTAACTGACTACGAAAAAGGAGGTGGCTCTTAATTCGGTTCAATTTTTATATATTTTTAAAGTTTATTTCTTAACTCATTTCTAAACCGAATATCAAAAATACTTTTTTATTTGAAATATCTAAATATATATAACTCAAAGGTGACTGACATAGTGATTTATCAACGCACAGCCCAAACCACTGGACGGATCGGGCTGAAATTTGGCATGCAGGTAGATGGTATAACATAGGCATCCGCTAAGAAAGGATTTTGATTAATTCTACCCCCAAGGGGATAAAATAGGGGTTGAAAGTTTGTGTGAAACTTTGTCAATTTTAAACCAATCGGGCTGAGACTGCATGCACAAAGCTACTATGACGTAGGCATCTCCTAAGAAAGGATTTTGATATATTCCACCCCTAAGGGGATAAATTAACGCGAGCAAAGCCGCGGGCAAAAGCTAGTAGCGTATAAAATAAACATTATTATTTTCACGTACCCTCAAATGGGTTGAAGCTGAAAATTAGTGTTTTGTTTCCTGAACAATGTACCACGCTGAGCTTCGACCTTTTTGTATTGCTACAGATCACACATAATAACACAATTTTATAAATCTTATATCGTATTATGTATTGTCTATTCTTATGAACATGTTGTGTGTGATTACTAACAAACAAATAAACGATATATCTATCTATGTAAACAATTTTATAAATACCAACATTGTTAATTATTTTCTTATGTTCTTGTATAAATAACTTAATAAACATAATCGGCCAATCACGAAAATAAACTACATCATGTTTATCACGATATACTCGTTAAGATAAATCTTAAAGTTGAACAAGGTTATACGTAAGCTGCAACATGCGTGCAGTTGGATAATCTGTTGCGCAAGATACAGATTGTCAACTGGCTGTGTAGGGTTGCCACTAGAGTTGTTAGATTTTTTTCAGTCTATAAGGGGCAAACGCTTATATAGGCAAAAAAATACGGGAATTTAGTTAGGACAAATATAATTTTATAATAAACTGCCAGAATCTGCACTAAATCCGACAGAGAGGCAATTCAAATCTTATATTAAACAATTTTTGTGTAAGAAAGCCTATTACAGGATAGACGAATTCATAGACGACAACATATCAAGTAAATAATTCGTTTATTAGCATACAACGTTATAATTTGTTTATTTCATTGCTTTCTTGATTCAATTATTTTAGAAATATGAATTTTTGTATTGATTGCCGCATGCATTCTTATGTGAAATGTGAATACTATAACCATCAGATGGCAATTGTGAGTAGCTATGACGTGATCTGGTGTTTTGAGTAGTCATGCTCACTAAAATGTCCAGACTTGTGGCGGCGTGGTGGGCCGGGTCATTGGGCTCCCTAAAATATGGTCGAGCGCAATGGTGGCTGGCTCATCCGTCATACTCGTGAACGGGTGCTGCTTGTGTGGACTGGTCTGCTCTAATCACTATGACTTATTTTCTCTCATTAATTGTTTAACCAGTTGTTGTATATTGAATGTTTTTTCTATTTTATTATTTCATTGAATTAGTGTTAATCGGTGGTTTGTATTCACACACTTAAACTTAAATTGTAAGTAAGAATAAATTATTTAAAAGAGCAACACACAAGTTTCTTGCTTGTTCTTCTTGTGATGAGACAGCATTCCGAATGAGCGGTAGATTAAAAAAAAAATGTTGTGACTATTCAAAAGTGCTTCAATGTAAGTTTATTTAAATAAATGATTTTCTATTCCATTCTATTCTAATTAAGTCGAAGTCGCGGGTACAGCTACAGTCACCATAGTGACTGTAGCTGTACCCGCGACTTCGTCCGTAAAAATAGCATTGACCAAATAATGAAAAATATATTTAATGACCTAACCCAATAAAAGCAAATTGAAAAAGTTTCATCGTTTCATGTTCAAAAGTGACGACACTTTCATACACAACTCTTTCAACGCCTTATAGCACTTCTATCGCATTCAAAAGTAGCCTATTTATTTATATTTAATTAGCAGCCTCGAAAATAACTTTGAAGCTTCTAGCTTCAAAAATGACGATTCTTCCATACAATCTTTCATCCCCAATTTCAACCCTTACAACCCTTTTTCGTATTGAAAAGTAGCCTATGTCCTTTCTCAGGGTCTAGACTAACTGTGTACCAAATTTCATTTAAATCGGTTCAGTAGTTTTGGCGTGAAAGCGAGACAGACAGATAGACAGACGGAGTTACTTTCGCATTTATAATATTAGTAAGGATTTTTTATTTTTTTATATATTTTTTGAGGAGCAAATCAGTTTTATTGTATTTAACATATTTATAAAAATCAATACAATTATAATCGTAATTAAAACTAGCCCTCAACTCGCTTTTTATTAAATTAGGGGTACGAACGTTGAGTGTAAATAAAAAAAAATAGAGCACAATTCGAATACGGGACAGAGTCAGTCCCGCTGGGACAGTACTAAGCCTAAAATACGAGACGTCCCGGGAAATACGGGACGTCTGCCAACGCCAGTTACCACTCATGTCGAGGAGCGCCGCAATTTTACTACGTTAGTCTTACAATCTCTCTTAAAATTGTTGACAACAAGAGATGTTAAAACGACATCTCGTTGCTAAAAGTTGGGAGTTGCTCCTTTAAACAATAGTTGTAACTTAACATTTATAAGTTGAAATGTGTGAATACAAACTACCAACTAGCACAAATTCATTAGAGTGAGTGCGTAACGGTTTCTATGTTGATTGTCGCATGCCTTCTCCTTGTTAATGTGTATTTATATAAAAAAGCAACACGCAAGTTTCTTGCTCATTCTTCTTGTGATGAGTCTGCATTCCGAATAAGTGGTAGAATAAAAAATATTTGACTATTCAAAAGTGCTTGTATTAACTTTATTTCATAAAGGATTATTTCTATTTAAAAAAAAATCGGAACCGTACGGGTAAATCGTATGGTAGGCAGCCCTAATTACTAGCTATTTGCCCCGGCTTTGCACGGGTGTACATATATTATATATATAAACCTTCCTCTTGAATCACTCTATCTATTAAAAAAACCGCTTCAAAATCCGTTGCGTAGTTTTAAATATTTAAGCAAACATAGAGACGGACAGACAGCGACAACGACTTTGTTTTATACTATGTAATGATAATAAACTATATTATCTGATTGCACAAAGCGGTAAGGTTCCTATGTAGATTGTCTCATGCCTCCTCCTTCTTAATGAACACGCAAGTTTCTTGTTTCTTCTTGTGATGAGTCTATCAAAAACCTCGTAACCGTACGAGGAAGTCGTATCGTATAGTGGTATGGTAGCAGCCCTGTAGCTCGGCTCACCAGTGAAAGCGTTTTGACACACGCAAGTATAATTTAAGCTTTTTCTACTTTGTATTTTCATATGTACATTACAAATCAAACGAAAATATAAATAAAGCTTTTAATATTAACTCAATATTATAATTACGATCAATTTGTTGATTTTAATAATGTAAATATAACTCTTTGATATTGTTCCGTTGACTTTAGTCCACATTAAAAAAGTAAAATAAATGGCGCCAAAAAGTTTTTTCAAAAATTAAAAAAAACCCTATTAAACTATTATGTTTTTAATAAAATAATAAGCATAGAAAATTATATATAGAAATAAACTTACATCGATGCACTATTGAATAATCATAACAATTTTTTTTAATCAACGCTCATTCGGAAAGCTGTCTCATCTTTAGAGCTAGTTGGTAGTTTGTATTCACACATTTCAACTTCATCATTACATATAAAACAAAGTCGCTGTCGCTGTCTGTCCGTCTCTATGTACGCTTAAATCTTTCAAACTACGCAATAGATTTTGAAGCAGTTTTTTTTAATAGATAGAGTGATTCTATAGGAGGTTTATATGTATAATACTTGTACACCCGTGCGAAGCCGAGGCGAGTAGCTAGTAAAAATACAGTTACAACGATTATTTAAAAGAGCAACACACAAGTTTCTTGCTCGTTCTTCTTGTGATAAATCTGCACTCCGAATGAGTGGTAGAATAAAAAATATGACTATTTAATAGTGCTCTTATTGAGTTTATTTGAAGGAAGATCATTTCTATTTGACGACCTCGGTGGTCTAGCAGTCTAGTCTACCGCTTTACGACCGATGGTCGCGGGTTCGATTCCTCGCACGGCACAAACATTTGTATTCATGAGTATGATTGTTTGTATCGGTCGGGGTATTTTCTATGTATAATATGTATGTATTTACGAAAAAAAAAATATCTATGTATTTGTATCAGTTGTCTAGGACCCATAACACAAGCTTTAGATAGCTTAACTTGGGTCTAGATGGCGCTGTGTGAATTGTCCTGAGATTATTATTATTATTCTTTATTTTTTCTCAGCTATTGCTGGTTTTCTCCTCACTCCACTCCACTTATTATTATTATTCTTATTATTATTTCTACATGTAAAATTGTTCACTATGATTTATATCATAATTACCAAGAAACCCGGACGCCCACATCAAAGATGTTACACAAAGCATCCGCAACGACAATCGTTACAAATAAACCGTTAATAACCGGCAGTTCTAAACTGTTACACGCATTAACTGTGTGGCAACTGTTACGTTATAAATACTAGTACCGTTTCTTGTTATGCCTTCACTAATTAAATTCACGGTAGTTCATCCTTTAAACAGATATTCTGCTCATATTTTTTTAAACCTTTAACAAACAGCGCCAACTTTTCCCAAACAGATATTCACTTTTTTTAACTTGGACAAGTCACACAGCGCCATCTAGTCCCAAGCTAAGAAGAGCTTGTGTTCTGGTTTAGCAATTGATAGAAATACTTTATTTAGTAATTACATACAAGATATACAATTATATTCGTCAACACAAATGATTGTATTGTCCGAGGAATCGAACCCGGGACCATCGGAGTAAGGTAGTGCTAAACCGCTAGACATTTCCTGCATTTTAGCCTATAATTTAATTGCTTGGAACCAGCACACAGTTATTAGACCAGATTCGAACTCAGAACCTTTTAGACACGTCAATTTTTGTTTAATTTATGGATAAGTAAATTAAATAATATAATATAATATAATAATAATCTCAGGACAATTCACACAGCGCTATCTAGTCCCAAGTTAAGCTATCTAAAGCTTGTGTTACGGGTACTAGATAACTGATACAAGTACATAGATATTTTTTCGTAAATACATACATATTATACATAGAAAACACCCAGACCGATACAAACAATCATAATCATGAATACAAATGTTTGCGCCGTGCGACGAATCGAACCCGCGACCATCGGACATAAAGCGGTGTGCTAGACCGCTCGATCACCGATGTCCTTACTTTAATTACTATGATTAATAATTTCCGTAAATAATTAATCACAGTAATTAATTAATTAATAAACATTATTATATTATTTCTATTGCATAGTAGTAACAGAATGATATCATTGTGAGAAATTAGAAATTTTGAATATATAACAAAATATATATATGTATAATAATAATAATAATAATAAATAAATAAATTTTATTTCATCTCCACAAATTACATAATTTTAGTTTTATTATATAAATGCTAACAAATAAAAATCACTATAATATGTAGGAAATCTGGAGCCCAAACTAAGTCATAGCCTGTAACTTAGACATCAGGTCTCCCCTTCATATAAATTAGTTATACATCTAGTTTTAAGTTTAAGCGTGGAGTGCATTGAGCATGTATGTGTGTGTATGTGTGTATGTGTGTGTGTGTGTGTGTGTGTGTGTGTGTGTGTGTATGTGTGAGAGTGAGTGATCTATGTAAAATTTATATATAAACTTATAATTTATATTTACTTATATTTACATGTATATAAAGAGTTTGTTTGTTTGAACGCGCTAATCTCAGGAACTACTCGTGCGAATTGAAAAATTCTTCTTGTGTTGGATAGTCCATTTGTGAAGGAAGGCATTAAGCTATATAACATTACGCTACGACCAATAGGAGCGGAGCTGCAATGAGAAATATTGCAAAAGGTGGGGAAATGAAACGCAGACGAAGTTGCGCGGGTCAGCTAGTATATAATAGATATATCGATAGAAGCAATAATTCTTGAATACAAATGTTTACATCATACGGGAATCGAACCTGATACCATTAGATATAAAGCGGAATGTTAAACCGCTATACCACTTAGATTGTCATTATCACACGTCAACTCAAGGCTTTACGAGGAATCGAACCAACCGCAATTGATAAACTGCTAAATCACCGTGGTGATGGAGTTAGAAGGTTATAGTATTAAATGAAACACCAAAACTATTTTTATAAGGTGGGGAAATGAAACGCAGACGACGTTGCACGGGCCAGCTAGTATATAATATATCTAGAAAATAGCCAGATCGATAGAAGCTTGAACACATATGTTTGCATCATCAGCCGTTTGTATGGGAAAATATTGTTGTTTTTACTATTTTACCTACAATTTCTTCATATTTTATCAACGTTTAAACCGTCCCAATATAATAAAGAATGTACGTTTATAATGACTATACATTTCATTATTTAAAAAAAAGATAGATTGTGTTACAAACAGTTGTGTTACGAATAAAATAATTAGAATAGAAAATTATTTATTGAAATAAACTTACATTGAAGCACTTTTGAATAGTCATCACTAATTTTTTTTAATCTACCGCTCATTTGAAAAGCTGTCATCACAAAAGTTGGGGAAACGAAACGCAGACAAAGTTGCGGGGGTCAGCTAGTATTGTATATGACTTCAAGCATAATTTAGAAATAAATGAATAAATAAGTCTTGTTGTGATAAACATCTCCCATCAACATCCATACATGGTCACTCAACAAAACATTGCTAAATGAAAAACCAATTAAACTATTTTTATAGGCTTATCGCGCTAATTTCTCATGCCAGTAAAGTACTATTACACATCATAAACACCAGAATTCAAGCATTTATTTCTCGTGAAATATCGCCTGAACAAGCAGGATTTGTAAAGGGCCGGGGAACTAGGGAGCAAATACTTATACTTCGACAAATAATCGAGTAGAGAGTTAACATTCCACTCTACGTTTGCTTCGTGGATTTCGAAAAGCTAGTCGTATAATATATTAGAAAATAGGGACGATCGATAGAAGCTTGAACACATATGTTTACATCATTGAGCCGTTTGTATGGGAAAATATAATTGTTGTTTCCTTACCATTATTTTACCTACAATTTCTTCAGGTGTGTATTTTATCAACGTTTGAACCACCGTCCCAATATAATAAAGAATGGAACGTTTATAATGACTATAAGCATTTTTATGGAAATTAGAAAAAAAAGATGATGATTGTGTTACAAACAGTTGATATATCGACAATAAAATAATTGAATAGAAAATTATTTATTGACAATCACTAATTGAAGCACTTTTGAATAATCATGACCAAGTTGCAGAAGATTTTTTATATCACCAAGAACATTAAAATGCACTTAATGAAAAGCTGTTTTTCCATCACAAAGACTTGGACATGATGCAAGAACGCAGGAAAATTGACGAGAGTGCTGGCGGCGAATGTTGCGTATACCTTGGACTGCTCGTTGTATATTTATATATACTCAATATCAGAGAGAGATTATTAGAAATAAATGAATAAATAAGTCTTGTTGTGATAAACATCTCCCATCAACATCCATACATGGTCGATCAACAAAACATTGCACAGCAGTTGGTAGTTGTGCAGCCAAAAAAAAGGTGGAGACAAATTTAATGGAGTCTTTCGCTCAAGGACCACAATGATACCATATCACAAAATATATTTGTTAATCCATCACTGAAGAAGAAGAAGAAGAAGAAGTAGGCATCGGAAAGTATTACAAATCGTGACGGACAGACAGCAATATCTATTCAATATTATTCTGAATGCAATCCGTAATTATAACTGCTCTGAGTTACTAACGGATCTAGCAAAGTGCTACTTCAATAGGTAGATTTAAAAATTTGAAGTTTTTAACCCTGGACAATACCATGTCATGTTGACCTCCACGTGTTTCCCTGGAAACCATCGTGATAAAGTCTTCCCGAATTTGTCACGATGGGCTAACTCACTTGACCTCATGCTCATGTTACATCCTCCACTGGTGCCCGCCAGCGCAAACCGCTAGCGCAGGCGGATGCACCATTCGATTATTACCCATAAAAAACCCTGGACAAATAACATAGGGCCGTCTAGTCCCACGGTAAGCAGAGCTTGTGTTGTGGGTACTAGACAACTGATATAAACACTTGATGTTTTCTGTATTTTGTAAATATATACATAATATACATAGAACACCCAGACCGACACAAACAATCATACTCATGAATAAAAATGTTTGTACCGTTCGAGAAATCGAACCCGCGACCATCGGAATTTAGGCGGTGTTAACCGCTAGACCACCGAGGCAGTCCAATATATATATTCGCAACAGAAGCCCTCAAATATGAATAATTTTCTTCGTTTTTGCAACATTTTTTACTGATGCTTAGCTCCTATTGGTCGTAGCGTATTGTTATATAGCTTAAAGCCTTCCTCGACAAATGGACTATCCAACACAAAAATTTTGTTTCAGTTCGAACTAGTAGTTCCTGAGTTTAGTGCTTTCAAACAAACAAACTCTTCAAAATATTAGTATACAAGTGCATATATGAAATAGAAATAATCTTTATTCAAATAAACTCATTACAAGCACTTTTGAATAGTCATATTTTGATTCTACCACTCATTCGGAACGCAGATTCATCACAAGAAGAATGAGCAAGAAACTTGTGTGTTGCTCTTTTGAATAGATGTTTTTTTATATAAATAATTACAGTATAACAAGTAAGAGGCATGCCATAATCAACATTGAAATCGCTACGCACTCATTATTAGTGTAATCAGATAATATTGTCAGTGCTATGGATTTTAAGTTTTTCTATAAAAACATTATTGTCGTTAACGAATTCTTCAATTTTATACTAAGCTTTTTTGCAAAGGAAGTGTTTTATATGACATTTAAATCTTTTTTCTGGCAGATTTATAACAGACTCTGGTAATTTGTTGTAAAACCTTACGCAATAATGTGTAAGATCCTATCTACTTAATATGTAGATTTATAACTGTTACCTGGTGAAGAGTCCAGTATTGGTCAGTCCATATTTGGTTTCTCCAGCCTTTATGTACAGTTTGCAGGCGTCGTGCTGCCGGCAGCAGGTGTCCGTGAAGAAGAACAGCCCAAGGTCGCTGGAGCGAGCGGTAGCTGAGTGACCGTCACCACACCATACCGTTCCTGAGAATCAAACGATGAATGGATCAATACTGATTGAACAGATATTAAGTGCGTAGCGGTTTCTATGTTGATTGTCGCATGCCTAATCGTTGCTAATGCTAATCTAATTTTAAAAAATATATTTAAAAGAGCATCATGCAAGTTTCTAGCTCATTCTTCTTGTGATGAGTCTGCATTACGAATGAGTGGTAGAATAAAAAAATGTGACTATTCAATCTCCTCCGATCGATCCCCAGTCCAATTCAAACGGGGATCGAAATTACGACGGCCTGAGCCGTGGTGCGAACTACTAGTGGTGCCCTCAGACTAAAGTCGTACCCGTCAGGCGGGAGTTGGCCTTCAGCCGCTCTATTAGTCATTCCTTTGGTTTGGAGTGCCATCTGCACTCGCCCCTAACGTCCGGTGAAGCTGTAAAGGCCAGCTACAGCCAACAGCATTAGAGTAGTACGAAAAAAAAAATGATTGTGTAGTAGTAGTGTGAATTCTCGCCTATCGTCCGGTGAAGCTGTAAAGGCTAGCTGTAGTTTTAGAGTAGTCCGAAATCCCATTGTATTTTTGGGTTACATTATTTTTTCGTTACTTGGTCAAGAGCACATCTAGTTTTATATATATTGAATTTGTTTCTTCTTTTTTTTGTAATTTATACTGTGTTGTAAAATGTGCATGTGTGTGTATTTCTTGATGTAAATAAAGTAAATATCTTCCCATATCTTTGACTATCTGCGCCCACGGCTTCGTTGCATTGTTGTCAAAAACACTATCGCGATTAGTCGTGGAAATTTTTTTCGATCAAGTGACGTGAAGTGAAGTGAAGTGAAGTGAAGTGAAGTGAAGTGAAGTGAAGTGAAGTGAAGTGAAGTGAAGTGAAGTGAAGTGAAGTGAAGTGAAGTGAAGTGAAGTGAAGTGAAGTGAAGTGAAGTGAAGTGAAGTGAAGTGAAGTGAAGTGAAGTGAAGTGAAGTGAAGTGAAGTGAAGTGAAGTGAAGTGAAGTGAAGTGAAGTGAAGTGAAGTGAAGTGAAGTGAAGTGAAGTGAAGTGAAGTGAAGTGAAGTGAAGTGAAGTGAAGTGAAAATGTGGTACATTGGATGTGGTATTTTGAATATTATTATATTGTTCGCACATATAGTCATTTCTGACATGCAACAGACAATTGTCAATTGAAATATTGTCATTATACGCATCGCACAGAAACCCTCAAATATTAATAATTTTCCCCGTTTTTGCAACATTTTTCACTGATACTCTGCTCCTATTGGTCGCAGCGTAATGTTATATAACTTAAAGCCTTCCTCGACAAATGGACTATTCAACACAAAAATATTTTTTCAATTCGAACCCGTAGTTCCTGAGATTAGCGCGTTCAAACAAACAAACTCTTCAGCTTTATAATATTAGTATAGACCAGTATATACTAGCTGTACTCGCGACTTCGTCCGCGTGGAATTTAACTTTATTTTTATCAAATAAAAGAACAGTTCTTAAATAAAAGTAGCCTAAGTTACTCCTTATTACATCAGCTACCTGCCAATAAAAGTCCCGTCAAAATCAATTCAGCCATTTCAGAGATTAGCCGGAACAAACAAACAGACAGACAGACAAAAATTAAAAAATATATTATTTTGATGTATGTTCCGTATTTATATTCATATGGATGTAGTAAAAAACGGTTATTTCTATATTACAAACAGACACTCCAATTTTATTTATATATAACACTAGCTGTCCCTGCAAACGTTGTTTTGCCTTAAAATAAAATAAAAAATTAGGGGTGGACTACCCCTAACATTTAGGGGGATGAAAAATAGATGTTGGCCGATTATCAGGCCTTATTTATATTCATATGCACGTGGTGAAAACGGTTATTACAATATTACAAACAGACACTCCAAATTTATTTATATGTAAAGGTATGAGTAGTAATAATAAATAACAAAAATATATTACCTGGATATATAGCTTGAACCCTATCCTTGAAAGCGTCCAGAACCGAAGTCGCAACATTGGCCACGCTGCTGACTCCAGACGCCACGACAAACCCTCGGTCGCTGTCCAAAGACCCGAAGTCTCTAACACCAGCCATCAGTTGACTGAGGGGTCTGCTGATCCCCGTTGAAATACTCTTGAGGATACCGCGAGTGAACTGACCTGAAAGGGGGAAATGATTGTAAGTATTGTGGAGTAAAACCCCATTGGTAGCAATGTACCATGTTATGTTGACCTCCATGAGGTTCCCCCTGGAAACCATCGTGATGAAAACAAGGTCAATTTACCACGACGGTCTAACTGACCTGACCTTATTCTCATCCCTAGACAATTAACATAGCGCCATCTAGTCCCACGGTAAACAGAGCTTGTGTTATGGGTACTAGACAACTGATATAAATATAGAGATTTTTTTTGTAAACACATACATAGTAATAGAGATGAAACGGATAGCAGTTTGGCCGGATACAGGATACCGGATATTCGGCCAACCATGTGACCGAATAGCCGAATATCCGACCGCCGGATATCCGGCGGAACTTATCTAATAAATTAATTTTCATTCTATAACAGTCATTTACTATTGAGTGATTAAAAATTTAAAACTAAAACTAATTTTATTCCTTAAGTAATATTAAGACTAAGTAAATAAAGCAAAAAATTACTTATTAAAATATTTTTTTTACCCGGATATTTTTTTTAATTCGCCCGAATAGTAATTATCCGGTATTCGGCTGGGTAGTATTAAGGCCGCCGGATAAGCCGGATACCGGATAGTTACCGGATATAATAATAATAATAATCTTTATTTGTCTCAAACAAAAACTTTTCACACAATACAACTGTTGACCATACAATAATATAATTTAAAACTAATGAATGAGACAAAACGGTCTATAACTCAGTGAGGGCAGTGAGTCCACCCTCTCTGCTATTCTGTTATAACCTTTATCAGTAAAATAATACAATGTGAGATCGATGACGCCGATAGCATATTAAGTTAAGTTTTAAACTAAAACTAACAAAGCAAACATAACAATTGACAATAACAAACTTAAATATATATAATCTAAACATTATTCAGGATTAGTTACAACATTAAATAAAAACTAAGAATTATTCAGGATTATTTTATTATATATACCATCAGACGCAGATTTGCGCGTACACACACATATCGACACAACTTAGTAGATCACAATACTACGAAACGACGGATTGTTCTTGCAGCAACCATTTGTTAAATTTGCGTCTAAATATTCGTAAGGATAAAATCAGTTTCATCTCTACATAGGAAACACCCAGACCAATATAAACATGAATACAAACGTTTGTACCGTGCGAGGAGTCGAATCGCGACCATCGGAAGGAAGGCGATATGCTAAATCGCTTCATCGTCGAGGCGATGAATATTGCGCCACGACAGTCGAAGCAGGACGGTAAGAGTTCCGTTTTACCATTTCATTTTTTATGAGTAATTATGATAATTGAATAACAATTACGTTTTAATTAATTAATGAATTATATGGGCGTAGACTCAATAACGCTCGGAAATTGATCACCAATAGAGAAGGTCGTAATAGTAGTCTAGTTTCCGCACTGAATTTTTGTTGCCTCATATATGCTAATTGTAGATTTAAACAAAATAATATAAATACATTAAATAGTGAAATGGTAAGCAAATTGGCACCTAATTCAGTAAAATACTACCTGAACGGCGCAACTTCGTCTGCGTCATTTCCCCACCTTTTGCAATATTCTTCATTCCAGCTCCGCTTCTATTGGTCGTAGCGTATTGTTATATAGCTTAAAGCCTTCCTCGACAAATGGACTATCCAACACAAAAAGAATTTTTCAATTCGAACCAATACTTTCTGAGATTAGAGCGTTCAAACAAACAAACTCTTCAGCTTTACAATATTAGTATTGATGTTGAGATTTAAACGTTGCCATAAAAGAAATCCATTGCGTAATCACCCGTGAGAGACTCGTAAAGTAATTGAATGCTATTGGATACTCATAACTTCCTACAATAAAATGCAAAACAAAATTACATCGAGTTGTTTTGTTGCGTTCTTGTGGTAAGTGTTATAAAACTGTAATTACGTCACTTTTCTACTGCGATTGAAAAAAATGCATTAGAATTTATAAGGAGCTCTGCTTGACGATTTCGTTTATAAGATAGATTAGCTATACACTTTATTTTTGTAAAATAAAATAATTTTTCTCAATTAGAAGGAAACCTGACAAAAAATGTCCCATAAAAATCGGTCCAGCCATTTCAGAGATTAGCCGGAACAAACAGACCGACAGACAGACGGACAAAAATTGTAAAAAATGTTATCTTGGTATATGTACCGTATTTATATTCATATGCATGAGTAATAAAAAACGGTGACTATTCAAAGGTGCTTATATTAAGTTTATTTGAATAAAGATTATTTCTATTTCTATTTCTTGAGATCTTATACGCAAAATATCTAGGTCAAAGAAACACAAACGTCTCTATTTAGTCTAATATTATTTTAGAGGTCATCGTATACATTGTGCTTCTGATCTCATTTTATCTAAACGACCAAAATCTTGTAACTTAAAGCGCATTGCAAACACTTTTTTAAAGTTCCGTGTCATAGATATTGCGAGAATTTGTTTACAATTTTTTGATATTTTGTAGTCGCAGTAACCTCGGCTTTTAGATCTCAACGGCTGTTAGTTTGAATCATGTTTCGAAACGAACGCTTCTTTTTTGTGTTCATTTATATTTATGACTTCTCCAGTAAAGGAAACTTAACAATAAAGAAAATTACAACGATTAATTTATACTGAAATTTAATAACACTGGAATTACGGTTATTTAGATATTAACGTCCAAATATCGTCATTTTTATCAAGTTCAAATTTAGCATGCAGATAGGTAATTAGGTGAATATAAAGGAAAAAATGATATATACTGTAGCCTAAGGTCTGACTTGGCTAGTTTTCATATACGAAATATACTGTAGCCTTCGCAAGTTCTAAACATGTTACTCGTCGGTTCCTATTTTATTATTAGTAGTAACTAGCCATCGAAAGTAATAATTGGTATATGAGAACTGGCCAAGTTAGACCTTAGGCTACAGTATATTAAATTATAACTTAGGTTATAAGAAGAAATGATATTTTATATTGTTATAAATACATTTCAGGACAGACCATTGAACTTGGCACCCATTTAGATCTCATTTCTTTTGTCGTAGAAGTCAACAATCAAGGCATATATCATAATATTAAACTCGGCTATCATTTCACATTTATGTTTTTGATGGGATTTTTTTAACAATATATATATACTGGCTTTAATAAACACTTATGTTTCTTGCCAGTTCTTCTCAATTGAATCTGTGTATTGAAGTGAACATAATTTCATCGAGTTTAAATAATTATTGTAGAAAATTTATAAGTCCGTTTTGTATGGAGAGAGGTCGGAAAGAAGCTTTCCCTTTGTTTAGTCGTTGCGATAATCTTTCCATTTCTTATCCTTATTTTTTTTAACTAGGGTATAATGCTCACGGGGACTCCCGGCCGGACTCTTACCAGCTAAAGACCCCAAGGTGTTCCTTTTGCCAAAGTTACGGAAATGCACGAGCAGTCTTCCGCAACTCTGACGGCACTGATCCTATGCTTCTCACTTTTCCGAAGATCCCTTCTCATTTTTGTGTTCTTCGATATTATAAAAAAACGACATAAAATTCAAAATTTAAAAATCATTTATTCATCTAGGACATTTTATCCGCTTATGAACGTCAAATTATTTATATTATATTTTTTCGTACCGTCCAGTTCAGTATATAGATCCAATTGAGAAGAACTGGCAAGAAATTCCAATTACTTTTTTTTAATGGCCAGTTTATTTACAATGTATATTTATATAGGTGTCTATGTCTAACATTAAATGAAAATCCCGTGCATGAACAACTATTGCCATGCACGCTCGTCATTCAAGTAATTGTTTAGTGAGTGATAGGCTTTGCTCAGTAAATATGATTTAACAGATGTTTTGAATTGATTTAAGTGTAATTCCAACATATCCTTTGGTACCTTATTGTAAATTTTTATAATTCCCATAAAAGACCTATTAACTTTTTCTAAACGATACTTGGGGACAGCAAGTTTGTCTTTAAATCTAGTATTAATATTATGAATATTGCTGTTTTTTGATAATCCTATACGAACTACATTTTAATGAATTAATTACCTATGATTAAATTTATGATTATAATTTAAAATCAAGTTACGTTTGCGTTTATTATTAGCAATTTAATTAGTAGTTGTAACATAAGGTCGCGACTATGTTCCTAGTTCAGTGCCAATATAAATAACAAAGAATAAATTAATTTCGTCAATAACAAATTAAGTTTGCATCAAATTTGTTGTTTGTTTTACTGTTTAATGCTTCAATTCTCTGTTGGAACGCGTTAGGAAATTTCGCGAATATTATATCTACGACTTGAAGATTATACGACTTGGAATGAAAAACAAAAGAAATGAAATATCTTACTTTTTAAACAATACAATACAAAACAACAAACATATTCGACTTACAACGAAACACAATATAATTTTTTTTTTTAGAATACCTATTAACAAAACAACAAATAACATAATTGGACTTAGTTTAGTCGTTCTTGATTAAGTTATATCTTGACCTATAGATACAAATTCATTTTTATACCCGTATATATATTATAGACTAGCTGTACGAGCGCCTTCCTCCGCATGGAAACTAACTTTATTTTTCTAAAATAAAAGTAGCCTTATTACATCAGCTACCTGTTAATAAAAGTCCCGTCAAAATTGGTACAGCCTTTTCAGAGAATAGCCGGAATAAACAGATAGACAGACAGACAAAAATTGTAAAAAATGTTATTTTGTAAATTCATTCATGATTCGTCTGTGCCATATTTCAATGCAGCTCCGCTCCTATTGCTCATAGCGAGATATTGTATAGCTTATTACCTTCCCCGATAAATAGGCTATCCAACACCAAAAGACTTTTCAAAATCGGTTTAGTAGGTCTAGAGATTATCCCTACAACTTTATCTTTGCCCAAAACTTTATCTCTTTATAATATTAGTGTATAGGCAATGAAGTACATATTTATAGATTTTAATGAAATTATTATTATAAGTAATATTTATGACTCACCTAAACCTCCATTTTCTTCACGGCTTCTTAGTCTCTCTGCTTCTAAAGCTTCGTTCTGCCTCTGCATTCTTTTAAATAAATCGTAAATGCTCTTAGGTACAACTTTTTCTGCTACACTTTCCACTACACTCTCCACCATACTCCCAGCAAGTCCCATTAATACTGATAGAGCATCAGTCTTAGGTGCTGTTGTAGGTACCACATCTTTAGAATCGTAGTAATCTTCTGGAACTTCTTTGTCTTCTTCTATATCGAATTCTGAAAATATTGGTAGATCTATATCTTCTTCTGAACTATCTATATCCCTTTCTAATAAAGTCTCAATTTTTCTAGTCGAATTTGTGTTAAGGACTTCGGTTGATATATCATTCTGTGGTACAGTTGTATTAATGATTTCTGTTGTAATCGGTACTATAGTAGAAGATTCAGAATTAACAGATCCATTATAGATTTTCAATTTATAATCAGTAATTGTGAAATCAGTAGTAGTTTCAATATTATTCATAGTATAGTCTTCAGTAGCAATTTCAGAATTTTCAGTAGATGTTGGTAATATAATGGTTTGGTTGATTACAATATGAGGCAAGTCTTTCACAGTAGATGATAATGGTATGACAGAATAATCAGGCTCTGTTGTACTCTCAACTATACTTAAGAGTTTATTTTCGGTTGTACTTATTAATTCTAATGGAATGACGCTATAATCATTTGTTGTGGTATCAATATTCTCAGTTGTAGCATTAGCAACAACATTAACTTCAATATCATTATGTTTGCTATCTTTTACGTTTTCTTTCGTATGTCTGTCATCTTTAATAATCGTATATCTATGAGATTCTTTATTAAAACTTTTATAAGGTACATGTTTTGTATTAAACTTAACTGAATATTGTTCATCGAAGTCTATAATATTGTTTTCTATGTTATTATCATTAACTGTTGCTTCTGTTAAAGTACTTTCGGTACTCTGTATGTTTTTTGGTGTAGCTGTTGATGTTTGACTTAGAACTAATATGGCACAGATGAGAGGTATCATTTTTCTTCTCACTCGATGATACATCGCTGTTTATCCATCTGAAACAAAAATAAACGATTATGAAAAAATTAAGAAATATATTTATATGATAATCATGACAATTATAGATTATTAACTAGCTTAACCCGCCCCGGCTTCGCACGAGTGTACATGTATTATGCATATAAACTCCTCTTGAATCACACTATCTATTAGTAAAAACTGAAATAAAATCCGTTGCGTAGTTTAAAGATATAAGCGAACAGACTTCGTTTTGTACTATGTAGTACTATGAACACAAATGATTGTACCGTGCGAGGAAACGAACCCGCGACCATCGTAAATAAACCGGTATTCTAAACCGCTAGACCACCGAGGCTGTCTTATAGATTGCATTTTAGAAAACAGCTACACCGATACAAACAATCATACTCATGAATACAAAAATTAGTACCGTGTGAGAAATAAAACCCGCGACCATCGGAAGTAAAGCAGCGCGCTTAACCACTAGACCACCGAGGTTGTCTTACATTATACCTTTAGCCTTTTACTGCAGTAGGAGAGTACATCTTGTCTATCAAACTCATCTATAGATCCTCTTACTGCAATAGGAGAGTACATCTTGTATATCAAACTCATCTATAGATCCTCTTACTGCATTAGGAGAGTACATCTCGTATATCAAACTCATCTATAGATCCTCTTACTGCAATAGGAGAGTACATCTCGTATATCAAACTCATCTACAGATCCTTTTACTGCAATAGGAGAGTACATCTCGTACAACAAACTCATCTATAGATCCTTTTACTGTAATAGGAGAGTACATCTTGTATATCAAACTACGCAACGACACGTTATTTTTATATGTAAAATAGCGTGTAATCACAGTGTAAAATAATTGTAACCCTGTTGTAATTCGTTTCGACACTCATTGTTGCATACTCAGCTTACAATTACATGTAAAACGTTCTCACACGATGTGTTAAATTGTTTCGCCAAATAACAATTTTCCTATGCAAATAATTTGACGACCTCGGTGGTCTAGCGGTTTAGCCCGCCGCTTTACTTTTGAGGTCGCGGGTTCGATTCCTCCACGGTGCAAACATTTGTGTTCATGACTATGATTGTTTGTATCGGTCTGGGTGTTTTCTATGTATATTATGTATGTATTTACAAAAAAAGTATCTAAGTATTTATACCAGTTGTCTAGTACCCATAACAAAAGCTCTGCTTACCATACTAAATGACGCTGTGTTAATTGGTCAGGGTTATTTATTTATTTATTTATAAATAGAATAGAATAGAAATTCTTTATTCAAATAAACTTAATTTAGGAACTTCTGAAAAATTATAGTTGTTTTTATTAATCTACCACTCGTTCGGAAATGTGTCTAATCACAATAAGAACGAGCAAGAAACTTGTGTGTTGCTATTTTAAATAAATAAATACACAGTAACAAGTTAGAAACCGCTACACACTCATTCTCAGTGCAATCAGATAGTATTAGGATAGGATATATACATATGAATGTGGATGGATAGGATCATATCCTAAGGATGGTGTTACATATGAATGTGGATGGTTATAAAGATAGAGGAAGACCGAAAAAGATGGATGGACTGTGTGAAAGATGATATGGTAAGAAAGGAAGTAAATAACGAGATGACTGCGAACAGAGATGAATGGAAGAGAAAAACATATTACGCCGACCACAAATAAATGGGATAAGGAAGAAGCAGATGATGATGACTGCAGTTCTAGACAGACCAAAATCTGTTGTAACTGGCTAATCAGATATGTATTTTATATTCTAAATTTGTATTTGAACTTCAATTCATTCTTTCTATTCCTAATTGTCAGTAGTCTATATTAATATATTTTCTCCGTTTACCTAGTCTTTTTTCTTATTACTACAACAAAATATTTTAGAAGATTCTAGAGAAATTTCGCTGGTAAACCCCTCTTGAGAGAAGAAGAGAGAGCTCTTAGCGGACAACGTTATAATTTATTTTTCATACTGCTTTCTTGAAATATGATAGCGTAGCGGCATTTGTAGTGATTGCCGCATGCATCCTCATGTAAAATGCGAATACTGTAACTACCATATAATAAATTTAAATAAGTAGCTATGACGAGGTCGAGTGGAATGAGTAGTCATGCTCACTAAACTGTCCAGACACGTGGCGGCGTGCTGGTCATTGGACTCCCTAAAATATGGTCGAGCGCAGTGATGACTGGATCATCCGTCATACTCGTGAATGAGTGCTGCTTGTAGGGACTGGTCTGCTCTTATCACTACGACTGATTGAATCTTATTGTGTTTTTATATTTGAGCCTAAATAAATTAGTGCTGGTTGGTAGTTTGTATTCACACGTTTCGACTTGTAAAATATGAACTTACAAGGATTGTTTAAAAGAGCACACAAGTTTCTTGCTTATTCTTCTTGTGATGAGACAGCTTTCCGAATAAGCAGTAGATTTAAAAAAATGTTGACTATTCAAAAGTGCTTAAATTAAGTTGATTTGAATAAATGATTTTCTATTCTCTTATTTCGAACGCATAAACCATAAATAACGAAATGCTTTTTGAAAGACGTTCCTTTGTGTTACATATATGTATTGAGTGCAATTAGAAAGTATTTGTATATGGTTTAAAGGAATGCGTATTGATTGTGAGAGACGGACGGATGTTGCGCCGTCTTACATAGGTATGTAGTATAAGTGTTTTTTTACAAATATAACTGTTTGCAGACGCGAGTGTATTACAGAAATGTGCAAATGGAGTTTTTACGCAAACGCATTCTATAGATTATTACATTAATAGATATTTACTAGGTGACCCCTCAAATGTTGTTTTGCCATATAAATTAAAATCGCTACTATTATTTTAATCTATACATATAAATAAACTTTAAGACTGTATGTAATTTTAATGCCACATAATAAGAAAATAAAAAATAAAATTTTAATGGAAAAAATGTTTATGAATATAAATACGGTACATAAACCAAAATAAGATTTATTAAAACTGTAATTCACAAATACACAAATGTAAATGCACATGGCAGACTTAACACCTTGAGGCATTTTCTCTCAGTCGACCATTGGGCAAACAGAGATACATGTGGACAGTACATTAATATATATACATATATAACTAGCTAATGTAATAAGGAGTGGAATTTATTTTTATTTTTTTTCTAAAATAAAAATAAAATAAAAGTAAAATTACTCCTTATTCCAAAAAAGTCCCGGCAAAATCGTTCCAGCCATTTCAGAGATTAGCCGGAACAAACAAACCGACAGGCAAACAGCCAAAAATTATAAAAAAAATGTTATTTTGGTTTATGTACCGTATTTATATTCATAAGCATGTAGTAAAAGACGGTTATTTCAATATTACAAACAGACACTCCATTTTGATTTATATGTATAGATAATTTGTTCCGGCTAATCTCTGAAATGGCTAGTCCGATTTTGACGGTAATTTTTTGATAGGTAGCTAATGTAATAAAATCCTTATTAACTTGGGCTATTTTTATTTTAGAAAAATAAAGTAGATTCCACGCCGACGAAGTCGCGGGAACAGCTAGTGATTACATAAACAAGAGTAGTGACAATTTACATTTAAAAAAAATAACTTTACATCCGTCACACGTTGCTGAACTAAAACGCATAAAACTATTATTATAATAAAACTAAACAAACTAATTCATTGGTAGGCCGCTTTAGGTCATACGCACATGAAGCGATTTTGAATCGCGCGCGTGTTTTTTAAGTAACTGGCAATCAGGCTATTTGCCTACCTCATGGTGATCGCTTATTTACATGTACATAGACTTTACATAACATCAGCAAGGTTAAGCAGGGCCATAATAAAGGTATTGCTAGCAATGTGCCAAGTCAAGTAGAATCCCACTCGATTCTCCCTGGAAACCATGATCTGATCTGATCTTATGCTCATTTTATCCTCCACTGGTGACCCGCCAGAGTAAACTAGTAGCCCATTCTATTTTTTTTTTTGGACAATTCACTCAACGCCATCTTGGGTTATAGACAACTGATATAAATACTTAAATTTTTTTTTAGTAGTATACTATGATGGCAAACAAGCATACGACCCATGACTGTGCGCCTTGCCGATATGTTAATAACTTAATACATACATAATACAGTTAGAATACATCCAGACTGATACAAACAATCATACTCATGAATACAAATGTTTATACCGTGCGAGGAATCAAACCCGCAAACATCGGAAGTAAGGTGGTGTGCTAAACTTCTAGACCACCGAGGTCGTCAAATCATATAAGTTGACGTTACATATAATATTGTAAATATCTTGATTTTATAAATAAAATAAGTAATTCAATTGAGTTTCATGCCAGTTCTTCTCAGTTGGATCTATATACTGAACTGGTCGATAGGGAAATAAATATAATATAAAAATTATGATGTTCATAAGCGGCTAAAATGTCCTACATGAATAAATGATTTTTGTAAATAAAAGTTGTTGGTTCTAAATCGCTCCATGTGTGATAGGCCTACGCGTGGCGATCCGCGACCTTTGCAGCGCAAGCAGCGCCGTGGTGAAGCAATGTTTGTATTACCGTGCAACGCTGCTGGATATCTAAGTCAGGGTCTTAGGTGAAGTGCTCGGGACATTTTATATGTACGAGAAACTTCCTATCAAAATGTTCCCCATTATATAGAAACATACTGACGTCCCACCTAATACAGAAAGAGAACATATATATATTTTTTTTTGTGAATATTAATGGAATGGTGCACCCGCCTGCGCTAACGGTTTACGCTGGCGGGGCACCAGTGGAGGATGATAAGATGAACATGATGTCAGGTCAGTTAGCCCATCATGACAAATTCACCTATTATGATCACGATGGTTTCCAGGGGGAACCGCGTGGAGGTCGACCTAACATGGTACATTGCTAGCAATGGGAGTTACTAGTACCCATTGCTAACAATCCCCTTCCCCCCAAGAGAACATATTGACTGACAAGGAGAGGTCCAGAAGGTCCGGAAGTCTGTCTGT